AAAATGGGCCGTGTGGGGACTCCTGGGTGGGGCCAGCCAGGAGTGGGATTTGGGGGTTCTCCGAACTGCACAGAATCTTAGCTAGAGGTTTTCCAGAACCTGTGAACCCCCGCAGCCCACCCGTGTGTATGTATATGTATGCATATATGTGTATGTGTATATATGACATATGCATATGCATGTATGATGTCTTGAGAAATTGCTTTTACAATAAGAGCAGAGTTGTAAAGAAAGCAGTAGGTAGGAAAATGGTTTTTCATACGACAGAGCCGGGAAATTGATATAATCCTTAAAAACTAAGGTAGCCTAGCTCGAGTTGTACTCTCTTGTTTTTTTATTGCTGCCTCCCTTTGTAGTTATTATTGCCTCATTATACAGCCATTTGTACAATGCTTTGGCAGAGCTTCAGTATTGCATAAATTAAAGTCACTGCACCTAATTTTTGCCTACAGGTCGCTGATGAAAATGCCAGGAACATTTTCATTTGAATGTCAAAGTTTGTCAACCATTAAAACGGATTGATTTTTCATTACATAATTCAATAGGAGAGGCAATCTTCAGCTTGTACGCCACATTACACGGGGAGAGATAGCTGGGAAAGAAGAGAGAGAGAAAGAGGGGAGAAAATTTTTTTCCTGCTTCTGCCTTTAAAAAAATATGATCTTCCTAGCACAGAGAAGCCACATGTTCCAAAGTTCATGGTGTACATGAATTGTTTTGTTTTATACGCCTGCGACAGCTGTACTGCCGCGATTCCATTTTCAGGCAAACAGACAGAAAAGAGGCTGCGACAATGCGCTTTAACAACTTTTTGATGGGCTTCAGAAATCAAGAGGCTAACTGAGGGTTGCTGGAAACGGCCGAGGAAGCAATCAGCATGCGTGTGTGCTTGGAATTGCACGTGCATGCATGAAGAGCGGTGGGCGTGCGAAGGCGTGCAAAATCAGAGCAGGCCGCCGCCTGCTCTGATTTCCTGTGAAATGCAGTGTAAAATTTAGATTATCGATACATGATTATATATTAAATTGGCAGGCTGCCGTGTCATCCCGATTCCCCCCGAGACTTGCGATGAAATAAAAGGACGAGAATATTCACGCTTTACGGATTTATGGACGTTCAGGAGCTGCTTCAAAACAAAAAAAAAAAGAATGCATCATCTCGGTTCCAGCTCTTCTGAAGTGCGTTGACTCATGGCCGTGATTTATACGGATGCAAAGTTCATCCTCCGTTTACGTCTATAATGGAGCCTCCGTCGTAAAGTGGCTGCCACAGTTAAGCAAACACGGCGGTCATTAAGCAAACCTATAGCTCGCTACAAAGGGACACGGTAGCTCAGTGGCTAAGATGCTGAGCTTGTCGATCAAAAGGTCGGCAGTTCAGCGGTTCGAATCCCTAGTGCCGCGTAACGGGGTGAGCTCCCGTTACTTGTCCCAGCTTCTGCCAACCTAGCAGTTCGAAAGCACATAAAAAGTGCAAGTAGGATGGGACGATAGCTAAAAATCAGCTAAGCATTTGGGAGAAAAACTTAGGATATGGCCTTAATTTCAATGACTGGGAGATAGCTTGGAACAGAAATTTCAAAATAACGAAATCGGTAACATTCAGGGAAAATCACTACAAAATGTTCCATAGGTGGTACCTAGCCCCGGACAGGCTGGCCAAAATATTTCCAAATTCTTCTGCTTTATGTTGGAAATGTGGAAAGACGGTCGGCACCTTTTATCATCTGTGGTGGACTTGCCCTGAGACCAAAAAGTTTTGGTTAAAGATTCGACTCTGGCTCTCGGAAATAACGGGACAGGAGATAGCCCTGGCCCCGGAATCCTTCCTCTTAGGTATGATTGAAGATGGTCTCGACAACAATAAAACCCAACTGGCAATTCAAATTATCACTGCGGCTAGATTAGCCTTTGCGAAACTCTGGAAATCCAACTCTACCCCCTCTGAAGAAACATTAATAAATAAAATTCTAGAGTGCGCAGAGATGGCTAAATTGACGAGCGAGCTAAAAAATGAAGAGAACTCTAAGTACTACGAAGTATGGGGAATTTGGTATAACTGGTTAAAGAATAGGATAAAAATAGGATAATAGGCTATGATTTGTTAGACACCCGAAATGGACTCAATTGTATAGAAATGTAGAGAATTGTATAGAACTGTATATTGTATAGCTATGGATGGAATTTGCTTAATGTTTGATCTATGAAATGTGTAAACACTGCACCTCGGATCAAGATTGTGATTGTACATTGTCTTTTTAAAAAATTGGAAAACTCAATAAAGTATTAAAAAAAAAATGCAAGTAGAAAAATAGGGACCACCTTTGGTGGGAAGAGCGTTCCATGCACCTTTGGTGTTTAGTCGTGCTGGTCACATGACCACGGAGACGTCTTTGGACAGCGCTGACTCTTCGGCTTTGAAACAGAGATGAGCACCGCCCCCTAGAGTCGGGAACGACTAGCACATATGTGCGAGGGGAACCTTTATCTTTTATAGTTCGCTACCAGAGCAGTTTTTGCTGAAAACCTGAAGGAAATGCCAGGTTTGGGCAAAAACAATCATAAAATTAAGTCACATGACTGCAGATGTTACAAATCGCCATGTGTCCGTTGCTCAATGCCCAAACATGATTGCAGGGGAGGGGAGGGGCCTGACCATCCGAACTTCAAATCCAGGTTATAAACAGGTCAGTCTGTTGTTAGGTGACTGGTTGTAAGTCAAGAACTATTTATATGAAGTTACTTGACTACCGTATTGATTTATATTCATCCATGGAGGCTCCATATTGTTGCACATTCTAAGCAATGAGATGTCCTCATTTCTGAATAGGCTTCTGGAATTGAAGGCCATCAACTGATGGAAGGCGAGACCAAGACATCTTTCAACCAATCCCTTTCTTTAATAACCTCCTCTCTTTCTGTCCCTTTTGCTTCAGTTTCTCCCGTCCCTTTGTATTTCTCCACACTGTTGGGTTCTCTTTTCTTCCTATCCCTTTCTCTACAGTCCATCTCAGGTGGCTTCTAAGCTAAATAGCAGATCATGTTACTCAATGTGAATCGTTTACCTGGGAAATTAGGGAAGGTTGCTTTGGGACAACCACTTTTTAAATTTAGATGGTCAGAGCAAAATGATGGTTGCATCTCAAAGGCGCTTTTTCAAAAGGCAACCTAACTGCTTTTTCCCTTGAGTAAGAAGCAGTAGTAGTTTCGCTTCTCATCCAAGAAGCTTCATCGATTCCAGCAGGATGGTGAGGGTGATGGAAGGATTAGTTCTGATGAGATGAGATGGGGGGTTGGAAGGATCATATTGCTTTGCAGTCATCTGGTCATTAGGACTCTCCCTGAGAGCTCTTGATGCCACTTGGGTGTTTATTTATGCCCCCAGAGTCACCTGAATCAGGGTGCAATCGGTTGTGGAATCTTCTTGGAACTGCTGAAAGGACTATGTTGTAGACAGGAGATAGGGAGTGTCTTATCCCTCCCCCCTCTGTTAAGAGAGGGCTGCTTAAATGTTAACATAAATGGCCTTTTACCCCTCTTCCAAACCAATGGTCCTCTCTATCCAGAATGTGGACTTTGCTGTCTTCGAAAGAGTGGCCCTTTTCCCCTTTCAAACGCAGATGGACTGCTGAATTTTGTCCTGATGGGTTTGCACTTCTGTGTCATGCCACGTGTTTGTGAAGTGGTTGTTTTGCTTCAATGTACAAGAAGGTTGCATCTTTCTTATTAATTTATTTATTAATTCCATTTGTATGCCGCCCCTCTCCGAAGACTCAGGCCTTGCCTTCTTCTGCTTCATCCCCAAATATGGTGGTACCAGTGGTGGGATTCAAATTTTTTTTACTACCGGTTCTGTGGGCGTGGCTTGGTGGGCGTGGCAGGGGAAGGTTACTGCAAAATCACGATTTCCTCCTGATCAGCTGAGACTCGGGAGGCAGAGAATAGATGGGGGCGGGGCCAGTCAGAGGTGGCATTTACCGGTTCTCAACTACTCAAAATTTCCGCTACCGGTTCTCCAGAACTGGTCAGAACCTGCTGAATAGCACCTCTGGGTGGTACCCACAGGTGGCGTCACCACCTCCCTCAGCCAAGGTGTGTGGCAGGCCCTCCTCAAGATGTTTGCTCATAAATAACAGGTTTTTATTTTAGAAATATTGCTGAAAAGGATTCATTTTTCTACTGGATCACTTCAGCAGCAGGGGAATAAAAAGGTGTGAATATTGAATGAACTTCAACGGACTTGAAGGATAACACCGCCACTCGTTAAAAAATTCAATTAACCTTATCTTTCTTTAACATGATTAATTATCCTACAGATAAATGACTCCTTTGGGGAAAAAAAAAAAGAGCATCATCTTTTGAGCCGTACCTGTCTAACATGCTTTGCTTGTCCTCCTTCCTTTTGCCAAACCAAGTTGCCCTTTTTAGCATATTTGTACGCAATTCATAAAGGGGGGGGATCCACAATGGTTGTAGAACCGTGATGGCGAATCTATGGCACGCGTGCCACAGATGGCACGCGGAGCCATTATCTCTGGCCATGCGAGTTTTGCCCTAGGTCAGCTGCAGCGCGCATATGCATGCCGGCCAGCTGATTTTCAGGCCTTCCGGGCCCACCAGAAGTTGGGAAACGGGCTGTTTCCGGCCTCCGGAGGGGTGGGGAAGGCTGTTTTCACCCTCCCCAGGCTCCAAGAAAGCCTCTGGAGCCTGGGGAGAGCAAAAGACAGGACATCCAGTCCCACCGTGCCAAAAGTGGGGGGACCGCAGGAGGGGGGATGTCGCACACACATGCATGGGGAGCAGGGCACATTGAATTATGGTGTGGGCACATGCATGCACAGCCCCCCCTGTGCGTCCCCCCCCCCCGCTTTTGGCACACAACAGCAAAAAGGTTAGCCATCACTGTTCTAGAACGTTCTTTATGCAACGATTCAAAACTGGCCGGTAGCAAAATTTAATGCACAGGTGTTTGAATGTTTAACAATGCGACCAACTCCACCATTTCCAAGAAAGCTGCGCTTATCTACTTTATTACGCAATTTTACTGAGTTTTAAAACAGTGAGTTTTAAAGCCACTTCAGAGATTATTCTGTACAGCAAGCCGAACGGGAATCGTGTAATATTGAAAGGTGTTTCTTTCGGGAAGAAGAATTTGTGCCGTAACAGAAGACATATGTTCCCAACAAGAGGGGATTGGGGAGGAGGGAACGCCTGGGAATCAGTTTGCCCTTCTTTCGAAAACAAGCCAAATGACATATGGAGCTACTGTTGACTTTGGCCAACTAGCCTAATTGGCACCGAAGGTTGGAAAGCCTTATTTACAAGATATTGACATGGGTTTCTAGGAGAAATGAGTCAAGCATGTAATACTTTTTTTTAACCCAATGACAGGAAGGCCCTTCATATATTCCCAACTCAATTCAAGCCTATTAAACCAACTCCGCAAAGGCCCCACCCAAATTCCTGGAGTTACACATGATGCACGACAACTGTTGGAACTCTGCTCAGAGTCTTGGCGCCACGTGGCTTCGATTCCGGCCTTGTCGCTGCCTCATTCCTCAGGAGGTTCTTCTTCGAGGTTCTTCTCGGGCACCTTCTCTGTCTTGCCTTCCGATGGATTGCTGAACCCAGGATCTTCTGGCGTAGTTCCATCTCCATCGTAGATGATATCTTCTGGATTTGGAGGTGGGGGACAGAATTCTTCACTGGGGAACATTTCTTGAAAGATGGCTTCGGCCTGTTGGAAAACCAATATATTATTTTGGAAATCTCGGGGGGGCTTCTTGGCAATCTTTCATTTCAGCTGCGTCCCCTCCCCTGCAATATTGTTATTTTATCAAATCACAAATAGGTTGTTAAACCTACTTATCGAATAGGTTTTACAACAGATGCTGGCCAATGCAATTTAGCATCCAGATGCTTTGACTCAGTTCTTTCTCTCTCTCTCCCCCCCCTTCCTTCCTTGCTTTCCCTCCCTCCTTCCTTCCCGCTCCCCTCTTTCCTTCCCTCCCTCCCCCCTCCTTCCACTCCCTCCCTCCCTCTCCCTCCCTTTCTTTCCTTCCTTCCCTCCCCCTTCCTTCCCTCCCCCCCTCCTTCCACTCCTTCCCTCCCTCCCTCCCTTCCTTCCTTTCCTTCTTCCCTCTCTCCCATCTATACTTTTTGTTCCCTCCTAGGCTGCCAAGCTGTCAGGCTAGTTTTTACCTGAATACACTGTCAGCAGAAGATTTTAAGTGAGTTACTTATAGACCCTGGGCTATAAGTAGCTCACCCCTGTGTTAAAAAGACAGGGAACAATTTAAAGAAGTATGAACACAATGCCATAGATTTTAAATCCAACTGATATCAAAAGAAGGGAGACTCAAAGGGAAACGTTGATCGGCTCAGAGCATATAAATATGCTTGAAGCTTCATTAATGTGTGGTTTTGTATGAGAATACAAGTAAATCTAGTCACCATTTATTTTTAAACAATGTAAACAAGGGAATACACATGCGAGGTATTTTAAATTACTATTGTTTGTTTTTTTCTCCCCCCAAAAATACCTGATATCTATTTGGCCTGAGAGAACTTGCTTGCCTTAAGTCATCTATATTCCTACCTTACCCAGAAAAGTGAATGATTTACCTGTTTGACAGCACAGTCATTCCCGAGTGCCCCGTCTGGCCCAGAACAAACGTACATGTTGGAAGGCAAATTGTCATACGAAGCCTTGTCAACGCTGGAGGAATCCCTCATGTTGAAATACACGGACCAGAGAACCTGAGGTTTGGTTCCTTCTCCTTCATCTTCCCCTTCTGAAACAACAGGGCAACTGGTCTTAGCATCCAAAGCTCTCAGAGGAACTGAAACTTGGAAGACTTCAGCAAAATGTGAAAAGCAAAGCATTGGGGATTCTCTTTAAAGGAAGAAGGTAGCGAACATTTCTGACTCTGTGGACCAGTGATGGCAGCACGGGGAGAAGGGGGGGGGAGAGGGAGGGGATGGTTTCCACATGTGCCCGCCACTTAACAGATTAACAGAGTTGAGTGGGACCTTGTAGGTCATCTACTCCAACCCAACCCCCTCCGTGTGGGCACGCATGCTGTCGCCATCTGCTTTTCCAGGTTCCGTCACACGCATGCACATCGGACAGCTAGTCCAGCGTGCATGTGCACCTGACAGCTGCTCTCTTCTGCGAAGACTAGCTGTCCGCCACGCATACATGCAATGGAACACGGAAGAGCAGCTGACTGCCGCGCGCATGCGCACCGGTCAGCTGCTTTCTTCTGGGCTCCAGTGCTCCGGCGCACGTGCGCACATAAACTCCAGTTTTGGCACTCTGTGCCGAAAAGGTTACCCATCACTGCCCTACACCATTTCTGACAGATGGAAGTGACCTTTGTAGGTCATCTAGTCCAACCTCCCCCCTCAACCAAGCAGGAGACCCTATACCATTTCTGACAGAGGGCAGTCCAGTCTCTTCTTGAAAGCCTCCAGTGATGAAGCTCCCACAACTTCTGAAGGCAACTTCTGTTCCATTGGTTGATTGCTCTCACTGTCAGAAAATTCTCATTTCCAGGTTGAATATCTCCTTGTTCACTTTCTATCCATTATTCCTTGTCTGGCCTTTGGGTGCTTTGGAGAATAGCTTGACCCCTTCCTCTCTGTGGCAGCCCCTCAAATATTGGAAGTCGGCTCTCATGTCTCCCCTGGTCCTTTTCTTCTCTAGACTAGCCATGCCCAGTTCCTGCAACAGTTCATCGTATGTTTTAGCCTCCAGTCCCCTAATCATCCTGGTTGCTCTTCTCTGCACTCTTTTGTAGAGTCTCAACTTGTGCAAATGGAGCTTTGCGCCTTCATGCGCTTGCCTGCTGCTTGTGCAGCCCGGTTCCCAAAGAGCCGCTACCAGGTACTGGGCCACGGATCAGAGGTTGGGGACTCTTGCTTTATGGAACAAAAGAACAATATGGAATTTAAAGAGTCTGCGCAGACAAATTGGCTGCCCTGTGGGCAGAGCCAGTTTTGAGAACTTCCGTTTATCAGAAGACAAGCTAAATTATTGTAGTCCACTAACATTTTCTGCCATCTCAGGAGGAACTTTGCAAGGCTGAGAGAGACAGCATCTTTGTTTCGCAACAACTCAGATTCCTATCTTCTTTTTTTTTCATTATTATGGTTCATCGCACAGTCAGCCAGGTGTTCAGACTGGATTTGGCATTTTTGTGTGTGTACGTCTATCGAATCCTTCCCTGGGACCTGGGATAGGCAGGTGTGGACGTTTGATGGTGTTTCAAAGTATCGCTGGAGGATGTAAACGGTTCTGAGCAAAACTGCCTTTTGCAACTGACCGAAGGTGATTTTGTCAATGACTATGGTGACCGAGTGGTGCTCCAGTTGTTTTAGGATTGCACCCAAGGCACCTATTGCAATGATGATGATGATCGTGGTGGGTGGTCACACTGTCATTTAGATCTTTAGACCAAATTTTTATCCAACTCTCCATGTTCTTCCCAAGGACATGGGATAGGTAGATGTTGCCTGATAGTATTACAGGTATAAATCATCATCATCATCATCATCATCATCATCATCATTGCACAGTCAGCCAGATGTTCAGACTAGGTTTGACATTTTTGTCTACCTATCAAGACCTTCCTTACCAAGGACCTGGGATCAGCAAATCTGGATGTTTGACGGTGTTACAGATATGGTCGCAGGATGGGAGCAGTTCCAAGGAAAGCTGCCTTCTGCAATTGACTGATTGGCAAATTTGTCAATGCCAATGGTGGTGGTATTATTATTATTATCTCTTTTATTCATTAAACATGAGACTCAGTCAACTGAACATTTTAAAATGTATTACAAATACCATTGACTGGCGCTAATGGTTGATATGGGTTGCTGCCATCATCATCATCATTATATTATTCATTAAACATGAAACTCATATAATAATATATTATTATATTATAATATTATAATTATATATTATATAATTTATATTATTATTATTATTCATCTTTTTTAAAAAAGATAGGTGGGGTAGAGCATCTAGCAGGCAATGTGGGAGATTATCCAGAGTCTTATTTGTGCCTGCGAAAAAATTGTTGCCTCTAATCTTTAAACAACCGTTCCCAAAAATAATAGTTCATTTTTTCTCGTATCGTTTGGGAGGGTCCGTCCGCCAGGAGAGAATGGAGCCCTTTCTCGAATATTATTAAAAGTTCCTACTGCTGCTTTTTTTTTTTTAAAGTTACTTCTTCATAATTTAGGCAGGAAAATGAATAAAGTCCTCTTCCTTTAGGTGACTTTGCTTCTCTGACCTGCCATGGCCCAGTGCTCGCTTTATCTGGTGATTCATTTTCAATAACTCCAACAGTATTTGTTCTGACATTTTAATTAAAATACGACTACTACCTCATCTTGATGATAAAAAGGCCTATGTGTCAGTGAAAACTACCTTCTCAGTGCCTCAGTGCACCTGAGGACTCTCCTGATCAGAGGCTTCCTCTGAACGAACTCCGGGCAGCTTCTAAACAATACATCACTTCAAAACTAGACCATTTTAAACATTAAGATTAATGCTAAGAAAGAAAGGGGAGGGGAAGCCGGGAGGAAAGAGAAGGGAAGGCAAATGTTCAGAGGCAGCCTAGCTTTTTTTTTAGTTCATTTTTTCTCGTATCGTTTGGGAGGGTCCGTCCGCCAGGAGAGAATGGAGCCCTTTCTCGAATATTATTAAAAGTTCCTACTGCTGCTTTTTTTTTTTTAAAGTTACTTCTTCATAATTTAGGCAGGAAAATGAATAAAGTCCTCTTCCTTTAGGTGACTTTGCTTCTCTGACCTGCCATGGCCCAGTGCTCGCTTTATCTGGTGATTCATTTTCAATAACTCCAACAGTATTTGTTCTGACATTTTAATTAAAATACGACTACTACCTCATCTTGATGATAAAAAGGCCTATGTGTCAGTGAAAACTACCTTCTCAGTGCCTCAGTGCACCTGAGGACTCTCCTGATCAGAGGCTTCCTCTGAACGAACTCCGGGCAGCTTCTAAACAATACATCACTTCAAAACTAGACCATTTTAAACATTAAGATTAATGCTAAGAAAGAAAGGGGAGGGGAAGCCGGGAGGAAAGAGAAGGGAAGGCAAATGTTCAGAGGCAGCCTAGCTTTTTTTTTTCCCCCTTCTGTCTAGGCTCTGGTAGTTCTTGATCGCAGTTAAAAGTTAGAAAATTTAAGTTTGAGAAGCTTTGTTTGAAGAAAAGGATCTACCAAGGTTTATTTCAACTCTCTGCTAGTGATAACAGAGTAGTAGAAAACTTTCTTCTTCTTCTTCTTCTTCTTCTTCTTCTTCTTCTTCTTCTTCTTCTTCTTCTTCTTCTTTTCTTCTTCTTCTTCTTCTTCTTCTTCTTCTTCTTCTTCTTCTTCTTTCTTCTTCTTCTTCTTCTTCCTCCTCCTCCTCCTCCTCCCTTCCTCCTCCTTCTTCCTTCTTCTTCCTCCTCCTCCCTCTTCCTCCTCTTTTTTTTTCCAAAAACATTTTTTTTTTATTTCTCATAAGCACATTTACATGTACAGTCATTTATCCATCATTTTTCATTCATCTTATCTTTTAACTTTCATTTTTAATTTTTACTTTTTCGGGGCTGCTCTTTTACCATTTACCCTTCTTTATTTTACTACAACCTTTCTTCTTCTCCTCCCCTTCTCTTCCTTCCTCTTTCTCCTCCTACTTCCTTCGTTCTTCCTCTCCTTCTCTTTTCTACTTCCTCTTCCCTTCCCCCACTCCTCTCTTCTTCCCCCCTTCTAGCCTTCTCTCCTACTCCTCTTTCCCCCTTTCTCCTTCTCCTCCTTGATGAACTGATACTGGGGATCTTTTGAAATCTGCATTACAAGTAATCCTTGATTTACAACAGTTCATTTAGAGCAGGGGTGTCAAATTGGCGGCCCGCGGCCCAGATGCGTCACACACAGGTCACACCCACCCCAGCTCCGCAAAGGAGAAACACGTCGCAAAACGTCATGTGGTGGCAATGAGTTTGACACCCGTGATTTTGAGACTGTTTGAAGTTACATCACTGAAAAAAGTGATTTATGACAGTTTTTCACACTTTATGATCATTTCTGTTGGTCATGTGACCGAAATTTGGATGCTTGGCAACTAGTTCGTATTCAATTTTCAATGGCTGGCACAGGAATTCTGGGAGTTGAAGTCCACAAGTCGTAAAAGGGCCATAGCTGTCCAGCCCTGCCTTAGAGATGGCGGAAATGTTTTGGGGGGAAAGATTTGAAACCTTCATGCCCCCTTCGCACTTGGGGAAAAAAAAATACAGGGACACACATTTGGCAGAAAAGGGGGTGGGGGGGAGGGGGTAATCATTTAGCCAGATGATGATTACAGAATGGGTATCAGGCGCCTTGAATGGGAAGAAAAATGGCAAATCTTCAATTTCGTTTAATTTTAAATTAACCCCCCCCCCCCCAACTTCACCTGTTTCTGCAACACTGAATAACTGCTCCACTACGTGTGTCAAATCTTCTTTAGCGGTTCGAATGGAAGGACAGGTCAAATGAACCAAATCTGTGAAAAGAACGGAAGAGCAAAGCGGTTATTCAAGGCGCCGATTCATTCGCTCGATTGATATCCTGTCTTGCTATTGGTAATGAAAGCTCAAGGTGACCAACGACGATACAGAAGCCCCCCCCAAAAAAAAACACACATACACACACAAAAATGAACAAAGAAGGGATAAACAGCAACCGTTGAGGATTGTAGGCCTGGTGGAAGAGATGGATCTCGGTTGAATCAAGAGCTAAGCATGTGTGGATCCATGAATCGGCCGATTTCAATTATTTGAATGTTTTGACTACTGACAACGATTTGGGTTGAAGCCCAGCCTACTTGGAAGCCATGCAAGTGAAGGCAACAGGTTGCCTGTTGGAAGCCATGTGATCTACAGGTTTCAACGTCAGGGCAGGTTTTTGTGATAGAAGTAGAATCGTTACACTTTGTGTCTTGAATGGGTCACACCAATATCTTAACTTCTGCTTCTCCAAAAGCAACAGCAACTTGTAACAGTTAATCCGTAACAGATTAACAGAGTTGGAAGGGACCTTTGTAGGTCATCTAGTCCAACCACCGCCCCCCGCAATCAAGCAGGAAACCCTACACCATTTCTGACAGATGGCAGTCCAATCTCTTCTTGAAAGCTTCCAGTGATGAAGGTCCCACAACTTCTGAAGACAAGCTCTTCCATTGGTTGATTGTGCTCGCTCTCAGAAAATTTCTCCTTCATTCTAGGTTGAATCTCTCCTTGATCAGTTTCCATCCATTATTCCTTGTCTGGCCTTCAGGTGCTTTGGAAAATAGGTTGACCCCCTCCTGTCTGTGGCAGCCCCTTAAACACTGGAACACTGCTAAGTTAAAGTTTTAAGTTAAGTTTAACTTTATTGTCATTGTACGTGTATACACAGTATATCCATACAACGAAATTCACTTAACACCCAAAGACCAGGCCCAACACACATAACAATCCCCAAACACACTCCCACCCACCACAAACTCCCCACCCCTGAACCACCCAAACATCCACACAACAGACCAAGTAATGCTGTCCAACAACTCACTGATGACTCAACTCAACTCCCTTTAGTTCATTGTTGAATGCAATTATCGCTCTGGGATTAAAAACAATTCAGAAAACGTGTGGTCCGAGTTTTATTTGTTCTGTATCTTCTGCCAGAAGGCAGCAAGTCCAAAAAAGATTGTAAGCAAGATGGGAAGAATCTCTGAGAATGTTATGCTATCATGGTCCTTCTCTTCACTAGACTAGCCATGCCCAGTTCCTGCAACCGTTCATCGTATGTTTTAGCCTCCAGTCCCCTAATCATCTTGGTTGCTCTTCTCTGCATTTTTTCTAGAGTGTCAACATCTTTTTTTATAGTATGGTGACCAAAACTGTATGATGACTCACCACACAGCATTCAAAACTGAATGTTTTTTCTTAAAAGGTTTGGAGGAAGAGGAGGAAGGAAAGAAAGAAAGCTAAGGATGAAGGACCTTTCTTGAAAGTTATCTAATCCTCTCTATCTGGCTGGAATCCAGAAGAACAAAGTATATTGATTAGAGATCTAATTACCACATATTAATAACAGGTCCTGAATTTTTATGCTAAAATGAGGCCAAGGAGGAAAAATAGAGGCAGCAACACGATTGGGGAACATAGGACAACCTGAGGGCAATTTCTTCCCCGCCATCCTATTTAGGACCGTTTACTGGTTCAGGATTCACATTTTTTTTTATTAGTTTGTCATAATATAAAATACAAAGGAGAATGAAAAAAGGGGAAACTAAGGGAGGAAAAAGGAAAGAAGAGAGAGTTGAGAGCAGTGACGGCTAACCTTTTTGCCATTGCATGCCAAAAGCGGGGGGGAGCGCGAGGGGGTGTTGTGCGCATGTGTGCCCCCACCCATAATTCTATGAGCCCTGCCTGCCTGCACTCCCCCCGCTTTTGGCATGCGATGGCATGGTGAGCCCATTTTTCGCCCTCCCCAGGCTCCAGAGCCTTTCTAGGAGTCTGGGGAGGGTGAAAACGGCCTTCCCCATCCCCCCCCCGAGGCCCTCTGGAGGCTGGAAACATCCTGTTTGCTGACTTCTGGCAGGACCGGAAGGCTGTTTTTGCCCTCCCCAGGCTCCTAGAAAGGCTCTGGAGTCTGGGGAGAGTGAAAAACGGGCCTTCCCCCCACCCCCGAGGTCCTCTGAAGGCCGGAAACTGCCTGTTTCCCTACTTCCGGTGGGCCCAGAAGGCCTGAAAATAAGCTGAGCTCGTGTGCCTACCGATATGACTCCATAGGTTCGCCATCACGGGTATAGAGTAAAAGGGGAGAATTTTTTTTAAAAAGTTGACTTCTGACTCTTTTTAGCACAGTGGAAGATAATACCATTACAGCCACCACTTTTTGCTTTTATACATTAATATATACTACCGTGTTTCCCCGAAAATAAGACCCTGTCTTATATTTTTTTGAACCCTGAAATAAGCGCTTGGCCTTATTGCCATGCACTCAAAAGCCCGATTGGGCTTATTATCAGGGGATGTCTTAGTTGGGGGGAAAACAGGGTAGCAGGGGTGGGGGTTCAGCCGGTTCGGGCAAACAGAATGTTAATTTTAATCTGGTTCGCCGAACCGGTTGTTCCAAGGACTGGCTGATTCTGACCCTCCCGCCCCACCCCTCCCAGGGGTCTTCACGCAGCCCATTTTGGATGCCAGGTAAGTGCAGGGCGCTGTTCAACAAAGCTGTTCTAATCAGCAAAACCCAAACTCAGAACAGGTCAATGGTTCAGGATACTGATGGGCTATTAGAGATATGGGAGCAGGTGAAATAATTGAAAACAAAATGGAGCTATTGGGGAAAAGAGTGGCTGGTTAGAATACCGAACAGCTACAGCCATTCTGCAATATTCTCAACTGTTTTAATGGTTTCTTCCCGAAAAGCAATACAGGTAGTCCTTGATTTACAACCATTTGCTTAGTGGCCATTCAAAGTTACAACAGCACTGGAAAAAGTGACTTAGGGCCGTTTTTCACACTTACGACCATTGCAGCACCCCCCTCCCCCCATGGTCACGTGACCAACATTCAGACCCTTGGCAACTGGCTCGTATTTATGACGGTTGCAGAGTCCCGGGGTTACATGATCCCCGTTTGCGACCTTCTGACCAGCAGATGGAGAAGCCAGATTCGTTTAACGTCCAGGTTGCTAACTTAACCGCTGCAGGCATTCACTTAACAACTGTGGCGAGAAAGATCGTAAAATGGGGCAAAACTCACTCAATGTCTCGCTTAACAACAGAAATGTTAGGCTCGACTGTGGTCGCAAGTCAAGGACCACCTGTTTTTTTTTTCCTCCCTTACTGGGATTGAGAACCTTCAGCCTACGCTGAGTTTAAGAGTCCAACCAGCTGTGCTGAGAATCTGGGAATTCCTGCCAAGGATTTTCCTGCCATCTTTCATTTGGCAGTGCAGTTATAATTCAGGAGGGGTTAAAAAAAAAAGAGCTGTGTGTCAAATGCTCCCATCCTGAGGCGTCTTCTTACGGAGTTTAAAAAATTAAGATAACCATCTGTCATTCTAATGAATGAGCATTAACAGTCCCGTTGACCTGAAGTGTAAATACATAATTAGAGCCTTTTCTCCAAAGCTTATTAAAAACGATTTTAATAATAGGGGGATAAAATAAGCAGAGAGATTCAAGTGCAGGTAAGTAATGAGGCGAACGACATCTTACGCTTAAGAGCAGAATTTCCCAATTTACAACGTCGGTTGCAAAAGGGGGAGGAGGTCCCACCAAGTTTCCAGTCCGAGGACTGGCAGCATTTTGGGAGGTAGGGGGGAAAATGGCCACCCCTTTGCGACCTCACTGAAAAGTGGGGACAACAATTTCTACAAAGGGAGGGAATAAACGTCTTATTCGCAGCATGTAAGTAGCTTACTATTCCCACAAATAGGAAAGCAGGGGGAAATCGAAAAAGTATTTCTATTTCTTTTCAAAACAGTTTCTACTCTAGTCCTTACAACAATGCAGTTTTAAGCGTGGTATTTCTGATCCTGACGGATTGTTGACTGTGACTGAACTGAGCACAATCCAAGCGATAAAAACAAGAAAGGAGTGAAGGATTGACAACAGTGGTGGGTTACTCCCGGTTCGCAAGAACCGGTAGTAAAAATTTGTAGTAGATCAGAGAACCGGTAATAAACATTGGCTGGCCATGCCCCCAAACTGGTCCCCGGCCCGGTCGCCGCTCGCTTACCCTGCCCACCTCATCAGAGGCTTTTTTTTTTCTTTTAAAAGTATTTTTTCTACAACCTCTTCGGTCGAAAAAAATGCTTTTAAAAGTTAAAAAAAAAGCCTCTGATGATCGCACGGCTCAGCTGGGATCGTCAGAGGCTTCTGAAAACATTTTTTTCTGCAACCTCTTAAGGTTATAGAAAAAAACGTTTTTAAAAGTTAAAAGAAAAAGTTGGCCAAGCCCACCCAGTCACATTACCCCCCACCAAGCCACGCCCATAAAATAAGCCACGCCCACAGAACCGGTAGTAAAAAAATTTGGAACCCACCCCTGATTGACAATGAGCACTGGGAACCCAAAGTTTTTATAAAGGCACTAAGGCTGAAATAACAGTTTTAAATACTAAACTCCTTTGTTTAAATCCAGGGGTGTCCAACTTTGGTAACTTTGAGACTTCTGGACTTTGACTCCCAGAATTCCCCAGCCAACATTGAATTCAGATTTCTGTTCTTAAAGTTGCTAAGGTTGGACACCCCTAATTTAATCCAAAGGATCCACAAAACAAGGAAATCCACAAGAAAATTCTACCGATGATGTTACTTAGTCTGGTAACGAAACGTTCAGAAACTAAACTGAAACAAGCTTGGAGAGCAAACCTCTGCCAAAATCCCAGGGATCCATTTTATAGATCCATTTTATAACTTCATCCTATCCATTCCTTATAATAAATTTTCAATACACATGTGAATTCATCTAATCATCAAGGTTAACCTAATGAGCGGTACGGTGGCCTAGAGGTGGAGCTCTCGCCTCACAATCAGCAGGTTGTGAGTTCGATCCTAGGTAGAGGCAGATATTTCTCTCTCTGGGTACAATGAGAATATATCTGCTGGGGAAAAAACTCCACATTGGCAACAGGAAGGGCATCCGGCCAGTAAACACTCAGTTCCATTCAGTTGCCCATACTCCACACCGCAAGAGATTATGGGGTCATTAAAAGAAGAACATGATGATGATCGAGATTAATCTAATCAATCACATTGATTGCTACAGTCTGTTGCATAACGAATGAGTATCTGCAATTGGAAAGTAACCTATCAAATAAAAACGTGATTTGCATACAACTGTAAAGATGGGCTTCTAATCCCGTCTCTTCTTTAAACTCCTTCTCTTCCATCTCTGGTGTCGATCCTATCAATAAAACAACCTGGGCTTCCATGTCTGATCTCGAGTTCAGAAGTACCTCTGGGAAAACTGGGTCTACTCACATGTATTTTTCATGCAGATCATAGCTGAAGAACACAATTCCACAAGGTAAACAGCTGGCTGGCCTTTCTCCTGAGGTGGGACAGTCAAAATGGAAATCTAGAATGGAAACAGAAGATCTTATAGATACCTCATACATACACACATACATGCACGCATACAGTATGGCCACACCTCCATGCATGAAACTCTTTTCAGAAGATCATTTGACATAAGGAAATGGGAGGGATTAAAGGTAAAGGTTCCCTTCGCACATATGTGCTAGTCGTTCCTGACTCTAGGGGGTGGTGCTCATCTCCGTTTCAAAGCCGAAGAGCCAGCACTGTCCGAAGATGTCTCCGTGGTCATGTGGCCGGCATGACTAAATGACAAAGGCGCACGGAACGCTGTTACCTTCCCACCAAAGGTGGTCCCTATTTTTCTACTTGCATTTTTTTACGTGCTTTCGAACTGCTAGGTTGGCAGAAGCTGGGACAAGTAACGGAAGCTCACCCCGTTACGCAGCACTAGGGATTCGAACCGCTGAACTGCCAACCTTTCGATCGACAAGCTCAGCGTCTTAGCCACTGAACCACCGCGTTCCTGTGGGAGGGATTAGAAAGGTTTAATTTCAGCAATGCTCCGTCACAACTGAGATTTCCCTCAGTTTGGGGCCGCCATTTGTCCAGTCGGCATGGTGAAAAAGCCAGGAAGACATTATTCCTTCAGCTTGAGATGCCACCACCTGGTCTTCTAAGTTCTACATGCATTTTTTTATCTAATCAACTGAGATCTACGAGTAACTTTTTTTAAAAAAATTCAGTGGGATCAAATGCGAATCCATTTTTATTTCTAACAAATATTCCGCCAATCAAACGTTTACTAATATTTCCAAAATTTGAGTTCTGGGACCTAAGGCCTTCTTATTAAGTAGGAAAGAATCCAGAATTGGCAAAGCCAAATCCACTTTTACAAAACACTGTAAATAACTAACTAGACAAAAATTAATCTGGGATATTAGATGGTCCCGAGGAAAGGGGAAATGAGCTCGAGTGGGTGGGCTCACCTGCTGATCAGAGCTCTCATTATTCTGTATAGATCCATCAGTTATGAGAATTGCTCTGGAGATCTGCCTGCAAGCGAATAAGCAAAGCTCCATCATCAAACATGATCATCATCATCATAACAACAATAATAATAATAATAATAATAATGTGGAAAAAGTTGTCAGAAATGAGAAGGTGAAGATCTTGTGAGACTTTCGAATACAGACGGATCGTCATTTGGAACACAACATGCCAGATATCACAGTTGTCGAAAACCGAAATGTACAATTTATTAATATCGCTGTACCAGGAGACGCCAAAGTTGAAGAAAAAGAACTGGAAAAAAATAGCAAAATGTCGCAACCTGGCCATCGAAACAACGCGATTATGGATGAAACATGTAACAGTGATACCCATTGTCATCGGAGCACTTGGTACCATGTCCAAGAATTTTATAAAAAACTTCCTGCAGTAACACCAGCGGAACTGCAAAAAACTGCGCTACTCGGAACATCGTACATTTTAAGAAGATACTTGGTTGATACCTAGGATGCTGGCACAACCCGTATCAACCATCAGCACCAGTCAATGGTATTTGTGATGCATTTTTGAATGTTCAGTTGACTGAGCTTCATGATTAATGAATAAAGTAAATAATAATAATAATAATTTATTGACATTGTGGTACCAGGAGATGCTAGAGTCGAAGAAAAAGAACAGGAAAAAATCACGATATATCGCAACCTGGCCATCGAAACTACACAGCTATGGATGAAACATGTAACAGTGATACTCATTGTCATCGGGGGACTTGGTACCATTATAAGATACATCAACAAATTGCAGCTTCCTGCAATAACACCATTGGAACTGCAAAAAACTGCACTACTCGGAACATTGTACATTTTAAGAAGATACTTGGTTAATACCTAGGGCGCTGGCAGTACCCGTTATCAACCATCAGCGCCAGTCAATGGTATTTGTCATACATTTTTAAATGTGCAGTTGACTGAGTTTCATGTTTAATGAAAATAATAATAATAATAATAATAATAATAATAATAATAATAATAATAATGTACTTGGTTGATATGTAGGATGCTGGCAGCAACCCGTTATCAACCATCAGCGCCAGCCAATGATATTTGTAATGCATTTTTAAATGTTCAGTTGACTGAGCTTCATGTTTAATGAATAAAATAATAATAATAATAATAATAATAATAATAATAATAATAATAATAAAAATGTACTTGGTTGATATGTAGGATGCTGGCAGCAACCCGTATCAACCATTAGCACCAGTCAATGATATTTGTAATGCATTTTTAAATGTTCAGTTGACTGAGTTTCATGTTTAATGAATAATAATAACAACAACAACAACAACAACAACAACAACAACAACAACAACAAGGCATATGGATCCACATTTGGTTTTCATAAAAAACAGCACACGTTGCCCCAATTCAAGTAATGTTCTACACTCGGCAGTCTGAACACGGTTAATGACATTTTCACATATGCCCTGCTTAAGTTAAGAAATTAATAATGACTCAAATCAAGCTTATATAAAGGTTACAGCGCTTGCTTAATAGCCATCAAAAGGTAATGAAGACACCGAGGACTCCGTACGGAATGTGATGTTTAGCCATCTTGAAGTTATTTCCAACAGCGAATCGCTGTGCGGAGCGCGAGCGTGCAAGCGGTTACCCACGATTGCTGTAATGCGCAGTCATTCCAATGCTGAAATTCAAATGCCAGCCAGAAGTTGTCGTACGTGCCTATGATTAAAGCTCCCTGAAAGCTCCCAACTGCCTTCTCCTGCTTTGTGCAAGCCACTTGGAGAACTAAAGAGATCATCAAGGATGCTGTGGCAGTGGGAAACGTTGAGAAGAAGCCCCAGTGCGAGAGGGCAAGTGGCTTCCAGATGGTTAAGACTATCCATGTCAATGACCAAGGAAGGGCACTAGGATTATCTCCTTGGGCTCCAGGTCTAATTGATGTCCCCGAGCTTGCTAGAAAGAGCTGTGTGGATTTCAACCAAAAGCCTGCTATTTTATTAATAGAACTGTCAGGTTTCGATGTCGTCTCAAATAAAATAAATTGCATTTCCAAACAAATAGTCTTTGAAGAAATCTTTCATTTTATTAAGCACGACAACCTGTCCCCGATTGTGGCGTAGCCAACACTGACTTCCTGACTCCAAAACCTTCCCTTTCCGTTCCCCAATTCTCTGCGTCTCATTGGCCCTCTTCCCAAATCACTCTCCCCATATCTACTACTTCAGCTCCCAGGAATGTCCCCCCTCCCATCTCATCTCCTAGGGGATATTATCTTCAGGGAAAATAAGGAGGTGAGAAGTCAAGCGTCCTCTTGCCAGCTGCCCCCTCTTCTCCTTCTTATGTCAGCACTAGAGTAAATGCAGGTTGAAGTGGTGACAAGAACATAGAATAATAGGGACCTTAGAGGGCCAACCCTTTGCTCAAGTAGAAGACCTTATACCAGGGGTGGCGAACCTTTTAGACACCAAGTGCCCAAACTGTGTGTGCGCGCATGCCCAAACTGAAAGGTGTGCGAACGCGTGAATGCATGCCTCTGAGGACATGCATGAACATGTGCATGCACGGACATGTACAAACATGCACATGTGCAAACATACACAAATGCACACAAGTGCACATGCACAGAAGAGACCTGATGACTAGCCGGCTGATGGGAGGCGGGGCATCCCAACACCGGCAGTGCGGCAAAAGGTAAGATCTTTTTCTTTCGTGAGCTTCTGTTTCGTCGTTTGCAGGGAAACGGAAGCTCACACAAGAAATGCCACAGAGATCTGACCTGGGGCGATAGTGCGCGTGCCAGCAGAGAGGGCTCTGCGTGCCATAGGTTTCTCGTCACAGCCTTATACCCTTTCTGGACAAATGGCTGTCCAGTCTCTTCTTGAAAACCTCTAGTGGTGGAGTATCCACAACTCCAGCGGGCAAGCTATCCCTTTGGGGTGCAATGTAGACCAGCATGGTGCACCTCAGGCTACGTGACTTTGTCACGGCTAAATAGCATTCTGGCTGGTGGATCTCATAAGGATCTCTCAGCAACATGTGAGCCGAAAATAATAACAGTTAATACCATATTCTGTTACACCATATCATCTTCTTTTAGTGACTCCATAATCCCTTGTGGGGTAGAGTCTGGGCAAATGAATGGAGTTGAGTGTTTACTGGCCTGATGCCCTTCCTGTCACCAATGCGGAGTTCTGTTCAGCAGATACATTCTCATTGTGCCCGGAGAGAGAAATATCTGCCTCTACCTAGGATCGAACTCACAGCCTGCTGATTGTGAGGTGAGAGCTCCTCGCTCTAGGGCATCGCACCACTCAATTCTGTTACACCGTATGAAATAAATAAAAGCTATTCTACTGATTAATTTGTCTCAATGTCAGAAAATTTCTCCTTACTTCTAGGTTGGATCTCTCATTAATAACCTTGTACCCCATTTATTTTGTGTTCTGCCCTCTGGTGCTTTGGAGAATAAGTCAGTCCCCTCTTCTCTATGACAACCTCTCAAATACTAGAAGACAGGTAGGTATCATGATTAAGACAGACTTAATCTTATTCAATCCCCTGCTCACTGCAGGATCCATTGGCATACTGTGTTTCCCTGAAAATAAGATCCTGTTTTACAGTTTTTTGAACCCCGAAATAAGCGCTTGGCCTTATTTTTGAGAAGGTATTACTTTTTTGGGGCGCGTGGAGCAAGATGGGGCTCCTCTTGCCGTTTTACCTGATTTCCAGCTTTGTCTCCCTAACCCTAGCCAGAGGAAATGGCGAGGATCATCTGAGCATGCAGTTAAATATTTTCAGGGAGGGCTTATTTTAGCACATGTGCTCAAAAGCCCGATTGGGCTTATTATCCAGGGAGGTTTTATTTTTGGGGAAAAAGGGTAGCATTTTTCGATCTTAACAAAATTAAGACGGTGGACTTCAGCTCCAAAAATATTCCAGCCAGATTAAGGATGTTTTTGCTAATAGATAAGGGATGAAATATGAGATGGAGAAACCTTTATTTAACCTTACAGGGGGTGAAGGTTTGTCAAGAAGGGAAATACAATATGAGAATTAAAGCCATCCTATCACTGTCTTGTCTATGTCATACTGTATTTATCTGGGCTCCAACCTTTAATCTCTGACCAGGATTGTGCCTATATCTGCATGCATGCTTGACACTAAAGAAAAACAAGTAGGCCATCCATATGCTAGGAGAGGGAACGTAACATTTAATACTGGCGACACCCAGGGGGAGGGCCTTCTCTGTGGGAGCCCCAGCCCTGTGGAACGAGCTGCCCCCGGAAATACGTAAGATCTCCGACCTCCGGGTGTTTCGTTGTGCACTCAAGACCCTGTTGTTCCGCCAGGCTGGTCTATCAACATAACAATTTTAAATTGGGTTTTAAATTTGAGACGAATTCATTTAATAATTTTAAACTATTTTAACTGATGTTGTCTTGTGTTTTAATAGGCTGTACACCGCCCTGAGTCCTTCGGGAGAAGGGCGGTATAGAAATAAAATTATTCTTATTCTTATTCTTAATATATTAGTGGACCTTTTTTCAGACTGATTTTTAAAATGAGGACTAATTTTGAACCCAGAGTGTCCCCCAGGGCTCCTGGGGGTTCGCAGGGGTTTGGGAGAACCTCTCGCTAAGGTTCTGTGCAGTTCGGAGAACCCCCAAATCCCACTCTTGGCTGGTCCCGCCCACCCTGTCCCTCCCCTCCCAGAAGTCCCCACATGGCCCGTTTTGGATGCAAGTAAGTGCGGGGCGCATGCAGAAGCTGAAAAACGGGCCTACCGGAAGTTCGGGAAGGCCGGAAATGGGCCCGTTTCTGGCCTCCAGAGCCTGGGGAGGCCGTTTTCACCGTCCCGGAGGCTCAAGGAAAGCCTCCAGAGCCCAGGGAGGGCAAAAACGGCCCCCCTCTCAGTGGTGCAGGAGGCCAACTAGGCCACACCCACCATGGCATGCCCACCCAGCAACCGGGCAGAGAACCCCTTGCTAAAATTTTTGAAGCCCTGCATACGAGTAACTAGGTAGAGGCTGCAAGAGGAAATTGGTCTACATAGAATATTTTTTCTGACCAATCCGCAGTAACTTCACAGTAATCCAGAGAACCTGGATATATATAACCTGGGCGGCATATAAATCAAATTAAAAAAAAAAAAAAACTGACAAAATTGAGGCTGAGATGGATATCCACAAATTTAAGACTTCTAAAACCAGAACATGAGGATACATGAAATTAAAAGTGTATCTGAACTTAGGTCTGACTGATTTACTTCTGAGTAAGCATGCTCTATTAGTTATTCTCGGGTCGATATTTACCTGTAAGATACGTTTTTGCATATTTTTTCTGAAAGGTAACTATCCTCCACAACAAAATAACTTGCATTTATTCTTTGACCAAAATGATCGATGACCGCTTTACACCTGTTGGAAAATAAGCAGCAAAAGTTTTTAAAAAGCAAAACAATCTGTGTCATTGCTAGATTGAGGAATATAAAATATTTACAGACTATATTAAAAAAATACCCTAACCAATATGTTTCCTTTCATTTGAACTTTTAGTGTGAATTAAGAGTTTTATCTGCCTTTTTTTTTTTAAGTCTGCCTTGGTTTAGTCTGCTCTTGGTTTTATTACTTGAAACTCTGTCAAGGTGGGTTATTTTCAACACTGTTTACACAAAATTGTGTTTGGATATTTTTTTTAAAAAAATATTAATTTGACAAAGAAAAAGAAAGTTAACATCGTTTTTGTAATGATTTAGGCAGCTTTTAACTGTGTTTTTTTTGTTGTTGTTTTTTTTAATTTGATTTATATGCCGCCCTTCTCCGGAGACTCGGGGCAGCTTACCATGCGTTAAGCAATAGCCTTCATACTTTTTAATTTTTTAAAAAACCATATTTTAGATAATTTTTTAAAAATGAAGCTCACCTAAAGATTCATCAGATTAATCTTTGCTGATAATGCATGTCACTCTAAGAGAAAAGGCTTTAATGAGTTTTTAGGTACTGTATTTTTCGGCGTATAAGACGCACCTTTCCCCCCCTAAAAGGGGGTGAAAATTTAGGTGCGTCTAATACACCAAATGTAATGCCAGAAATTTGTTCACGAGCAGAGAAAAAGAACTCAACGTTCCTCTTAAAACCGATCTTTACTTTAAAAAAAAAAAAAAGGATCAGCAGAAGAATTCTTTCAAGTGCCAGGCTCAAATAAGGAAGCTACTTATACAATGACATTATCAGGTCTCTCTGTCATCTGATATCTGTTCAGACAATGAATCATACAGAACCTCCATTGACCTTCTTCAATGTGTCTAGATAAAAGGATGAAAATTAGAATCCATCTCCTTGCCAAGTGCCACCAGTTATAAATGTACTTTATAGGGCTCATTATCCAAACTAATGGACTAAGGGCGACATCCTTGAAATGGACTTACCAGCACTGACAAAGCTAGCAAGCAATAATTCAGGATAGATATGTAAATTACAGTGTTTGCTATATTTTTTAATTATTATTGTGAAAAGATAAAATTTACATTTGTCATTTCGCTTGGAGGCCGGCGGCTTCTTTGGAAACACGCTCAAAATTGGGTCTCGAAGCAAAACAGGGATGATGGTTTTTTTAAATGTAGATCACAAAACCCACAAACACAAACTGAAACATTTTAAATCTCATGGAAATGAAACTCCATAAACAATAGCTATGTACCATAAAAAAAAAAAACCTGAAAGTTTAAATTAAAAGGGGGAAAGGAAGCTATAACCAGGAAGGAAATGCAATATTCAGCACCCTAAAGGCAAAAATAAATTTTAAAAAATTCCAAACAGGCAACAAATTTGATTGGCTTTTGGCTGCATTAGCTGAAATACAATTCTTGGTTTAATTAGGACTGACTATAGATGTAATTTAGGAACGTGGTGGCTCAGTGCCTAAGACGCTGAGCTTGTTGATTGAAAGGTCAGCAGTTCGAAACCCTACTGGCGCTTAATGGAGTGAGCTCCCGTTACTTGTCCCAGCTTCTGCCAACCTAGCAGTTCGAAAGCACGTAAAAATGCAAGTAGAAAAATAGGGACCACCTTTGGTGGGACGGTAACAGCGTTCCGTGTGCCTTTGGCATTTAGTCATGCCGGCCACATGACCACAGAGACGTCTTCGGACACTGCTGGCTCCTCGGCTTAGAAACGGAGATGAGCAACCCCCTAGAGTCAGGAATGACTAGCACATATGTGCAAGGGGAACCTTTACCTTTATAGATGTAAACACTTTATTCCCCCTTTCCTTCCCCTTGATATTATTTTAAGATATACATGCAGGTACCCACACTTCTGGACCACACAAGCCTTATCTGCAATAATTGAGAATGTAGTTTTGGAAGGACAAATGTTAAGTGTGGTGATAGCCAAGTTTATTAATCCAATTCCATCGTTTGGTTCAACCATTCCTTAGGACCAGGAGACCTGCCAAATAGAAAGCTGCATGATACAAAGACGGGACATTTGTATCATCCAGAACATGAAGCTCTGTGGACCAGAAGCAACTTCCCTTCTGCTTGGGTAAATTAGTGCCAGGCAGGAGGAATCAGGACCACATGTTAAGTTCTAGTTAAGGTATTGCTCATGCCTATAATAGAGGAATTGGCGCTAGATAAAAGAGTCAGTGGAATTCAGGAAGGGTTGGACTCAGACCGCTTATGGCAGGGGTGTCAAACACAAGAGTTGGGGGCCGGATCCGGCCTGCGGGGTGCTGAGATCTGGCCCACGGGGCCACTCTGGAAACAGCGAAGGATGGCTCATAGTGCCTCTGCCAGTGAAAACGGAGCTTGGGAGGGCCACGCGATGCCATAGCTTTCCTCCCCAGGAGCAAGTGTCTTTTAATTTCTTGGCTACAGTCCCCATCTGCGGTGATCTTGGAGCCCAGGTAAATAAAATCTGTCTCTACCTCCATTTCTTCCCCATCTATTTGTCAGGAATTGAGAGGGCTGGATGCTATGATCTTAGTTTCTTAATGTTATTAACTATTAGATAGTTATGGTTAAGCAAAACATTGTATTTGCATGATACATGAACTCAGTCCGGCTCTGGTGGTACCAAATTTAACATGTTGACTATATTGCGTAGGAGGAAGCTCTTGGGCCTATCTTTTCTGAATCCTCCCCTCAACTTAATTGTATTATCCCAGATTTTGGTGATGTAATGGAGCGTGTATAATTTTATACGCCTATATTATATCCTCCCTTAGCTACTCTTTTTTCCTAAGCTGAGTTTCCCCAAATTTTACATTTCATTGAAACAGAATTACCTTAGCTTCTTAATCATTCCACACACACCCTTTTAAAAACTCTACAACACCCACCTTCTCCCACAGATGCAGAGATTGGATTGCATTCCAAATGTAATTGTTCAAAAAGCAACAGGAAAAAAAATGCATTTTAAACTCAGCATTACATTTATCTTTACGACAACAATGTGGACCGAGATACCTAGTTTTTCATCTATTAGCTATAGGTAAAAGTAAAGGTTCCCCTTGCAATATATGTGCTAGTCGTTCCCAACTCTAGGGGGTGATGTCATCTCTGCTTCAAAGCCGAAGAGCCAGTGCCGTCCTAAGACGTCTCCGTGGTCATGTGGCCAGCATGACTAAACGCCAAAGGCGTACGGAACGCTGTTACCTTCCCACCAAAGGTGGCCCCTATTTTTCTACTTGCATTTTTTACGTGCTTTCGAACTGCTAGGTTGGCAGAAGCTGGGACAAGTAACAGGAGCTCACCCCGTTACGCAGCACTAGGGATTCGAACCGCTGAACTGCCAACCTTTCGATTGACAAGCTCAGTCTTAGCCACTGAGCCACCGGGTCCTTACCTATAGAACCCTATTCTATAGGGTAGATAATGTGTGTATGGACAAATATATAAGCAACGAACGGATTAATTAATCTGCCTGTCTTAATAATAGCATGCCTATGTAACTGTCTTCACTTGAAAGATACATGGATGTGGTGCACTCCACATTCGGTGGCCCTCCAGATGTTGCTGAATGACTATTAGCAGCTCCCTACCATGCTGGATGGGGCGGTTGGGAACTGTAGTTCAACAAAATCCAGAGGGTTGCCCACTAAATACCATGTTTCCCTGAAAGTAAGACCCTGTCATTCATTCATATATATATACTGAACCCTGAAATAAGCGCTTGGCCTTATTGCCATGCGCTCAAAAGCCCGAGTGGGCTTATTATTCAGGGGATGTCTTTATTTTGGGAGAAACAGGGTACCATCTACTCTATCATCTAATCATTAATCTATCTATCCTATCTATCTATCTATCTATCTATCTATCTATCTATCTATCTATCTAATTTATCTAGCTATCCATCCTATCTATCTATCTATCTATCCATCCTATCTATCTATCTATCTATCTATCTATCTATCTATTTTATCTATCATCATCTATCTATCAAATCTATCCATCCAATCAATCAATCATCTATCATCTATCTATCTATCTATCTATCTATCTATCTATCTATCTATCTATCTATCTATCTATCTACAGTGTTTCCCTGAAAATAACACCTTGTCTTATATTTTTTTGAACCCTGAAATAAGCACTTGGCCTTATTGCCATGCGCTCAAAAGCCTGATTGGGCTTATTATTCAGGGAATGTCTTATTTTGGAGGAAACAGGGTATCTACAAGATATAGCAATAACTCACGGATGCTGTGGTACATGACATGGCCAACCACATCCAAATACACTTTTTGAATCAGCTAATGTCCCGTCCATTTTTTTTGTTCAGTGACAATTTGGTAAGAATTTCCAGGATGCGGTTTTATGTTTCTGATTTTGGTTAACAAGGGTAGCATTTTGATAAGTTGGAGCTGCTATGTATAGGGTAGAGCAGAGGTCTGCAACCTGCGCCTCTGGAGCCGCATGTGGCTCTTTCATCCCTCTGCTGCGGCTCCCTGTCACTCAAAATATGCGTCACAACCACCAATGTGCGACACCCGCCGGCACGTGATTTATTGAGCTTTTCGACCCATCTTTTTTTTCGGAGTTCAAAATGTGTTTGTTGCATGCAGAAATAAAAATTTGTTTTCTCTGTAGCAGTTCATTGATTTCATAAATGCAACACATTATAGTTTTTTTATACATAGCATAAAGGTAAAAAAACGATATGTGCAGTGTTATCTTCATTTTGGATGTCAAAAGGGTTTTGTGACTCCCGGTGTTTTCTTTTCTGTGGGAAACGGGTCCAAATGACTCTTTTGAGTGTTTAAGGTTGCCGACCCCCGGGGTAGAGGAAGGCTACATCCCCTACCCTTCTGGTCTCAGTTCTGCATGGGAAGCAACAAAACACAGATGGGAGTCACATGAACGGAGCTCCCTCTGAAGCTACTCCATTATCCTAATTCAGGGATCTCCAAGCTTGGGAACTTTAAGACTTGTGGACTTCCAGAAACGGCTGGCTGAGGAATTCTGGGAGTGGAAATCCACAGGTCTTAAAGTTGCCAAGTTTGAAGACTCCTGTCCTAGTTCTATACCTAGAAACCAGAAAGGTAAATTAGCCATTGAGTCATTCCCACTCTTGTTTATTATATGATATTTAAGTAACCCGCATTCTGGTTAAGGCACTCTACAATATCACAACATTTAGTTGATAAAATTAAGTGCAGATGTCATGCTAAACCTAAGCACCCTATGCTTTAGTACACTGAACAAGCTTGTTCTGACCTAGGCTTCCTTAGAGAGTATACAGCACAAACTTAGTCCCGGCAAACCTCTTTAATTCATACGGCTGTGAATTATTGTCATTCCCAGTCCAAAAGGCTTCTCAAACAGTATTTATGAACACCCACCTTATCTCCCTTGGAATGCTGCCAGAGAACTAATTGCCACACGCAAGGCAAGGCCAAACTTAGCACAGAGTCAAACAGAACTTTTCCAGAGCTTTTACCGATCAGATGAACTAATTGCTTCCTGCAAAAGCTCACGTCCCATTTCGCTTCTCTTTTATGTCTTATGGGAGGGGCCAATCATCTCCAAGCCTTACTCCCAAGTTGACCCTGTTTTCTTAATTGTTCCTGCCTTTTGTCAGCTCTGCGCATGCGCACACTGGGAATAGGCTCCCGTTGTTCGTCTGCCTCGCTGATGTCAGACTCTGGAGACTCCGGAGGCAGCAAAGAACTACCAGATGGCCTTGGCCCCCTCTCTGCCTCTGACTTGGAGCCCTCGTCCGAGCCTTCCCCAGACTCCGGGACTGGCCCACGTTCCTCCCCAATCTCCTCACTGTCCTAATCTGCTGCCAGCTCTGCTGGTGGGCCACAACAAAGCGGGTCATGTTTTGTGCTTTGCGCCATCCTATTGGCATAAATTTTGCAGCCCCCAAACATCCGATGATTTGGTTCCAACTTTACAAAAAAAACAAAAAAAGTTGCTCAAAAGCCCAATCCTGGTGGAAAAGTAATTCATTCTAGGCTAAGAGGGCAGCGTAGTTTATGACAACAATCTACCTAAAAACTCATTAAAGCTTTTTCTCTTAGAGTGACATGCATTATCAGCAAAGATTAATCTGATGAATCTTTAGGTGAGCTTCATTTTTAAAAATGCAATAACAGAGGGCTTTGTTGTCATCTGATGAAAATCAATTAGAGTAGGTAAGGCCACAAGGAAAACTAACATCACTCATCACCAGACCCCCGGCAACTGAAATGATCTGTCTTCCAAGCTTGGATGATCAGGAGGCTGCAGTAATATCAGAGGGAAATTAATTTAGTTTCTTTATTCTAAACCCACTTTCCTAGTTCTGGAGGACCTATACACAAATTATTTTTAATCAAGGTTGATGTGTTATTAATACCAAGGAAGATCTTTGAAGAATCGCTTTTTTAAAAAAATTAGACCCTGGCATTTTTCATCTCGTAGTTGCGTTTATATAAACGAGGGAGAAGGTTACCTCGCTCAAGACTTACCTTTGAAGTTCTTTGTCTAACACAAGACACTTTATGGAGTGCCGGAGGCAATAGATCCCACCAAATACTGCGCACATCCTAAATGAATGTCAGAAATCAAGAAAACAAGGCATCAGGTTTAGAGCGCTTCAGGTTTACTTTTTTTTCCTAAAAACAAGAATGTTCACTTTGATTTATTTAAATCGATCCATGAAATTAGAAGCATTGCAACCTCCAGTAAGTTGTTCATTCAATACAAATGTTTTAGGAATAATCTCCTAGGCATAGTTGCATATCATGTAAGGAGAAATCAAGGTAGAATTTGAGCAAACAATCTTAGTTTAGAGCTGGCTTGCCACCCTGACCTCTTTGGGTCCATTTAACAATAATTGTGGACTTGTATATAACAAGAAGTTATCCGTTACGGTTTGGTTGGATGCTCTCAAGGAAAGAGGAATGCCCTGCAAGCAAACCTTGTTTGTTCACATCATGATTTCTTAAGCCAGGATTCCTAGAAGACAGGATTCCTAGAATACATAAACCAACTCTGGCAAGGTTTATGTAAGAAAAACTTGTAGACGATCTCCAAAAACTCAAATCGTATGCCATCTGAATTCTTGGGAGGTTAAAAAGCAGTGAAAAAATAAAGGCTAAGTAATCATTAAAACTCAGTATAATCACAAATATTTCATTCATAACTTGGCTTGGGGAAGTGTTGAAATTAAGTTTTTTTCCCCGAAGATCATGGTGAATATAATCGAGAGTCAACTTTGAATTATTTCAGATTTCTTTCCTGGGGCAAATTCTATCTTCTTACCTTAATCAGTTTAAGAGTTTGCCAGCAGAGTTGTTAACAATGGTCAGCATTAACTACAGCAGGGGTCAGCAACCTGAAGCTCTGGAGCCACATGTGGCTCTTTCATCCCTGTGCTGCGGCTCCATGTCGCCAGTCGGCTCCACAATTGATAGGGCTTTCAGGTAGAGAAAAAAGGATGCCGCACTAGGAGGAGACTCTATGGTGGGGGAACCGGACTTCCGGTCAGCTCCAGAATTGAAGGGGGACTTCCGGTTAGGACCTTTGTGGCTCTTTGAGTGTTTAAGGTTGCCGACCCCTGAACTAGATCAATGATCAGAGCCCACTTGAAACGACTCTTTCACATGGAGGTGGTAACAGCAACAAAACAAACATGGTGTCAAGCTTCAAATGGCGTTTTTGCTGTTGCAACTATTATCACTTCTCAGTTTGCCAACAAACTATGTGTTGTGACTCCGACCTCCGAGGCTGACTTATCGGAGGGAGAAGGCTCCGAACATGAAGGAGAGGAGTTGGCCAGGCCTCCCCCTCCAGGACCCTCCTCTCTGGCAATGCCTCAGGTGTCTCCCGAAGGAGAAGAGATTGGCCAGGAGCCAGGTATCTCTTCGCAGTTGGACAGTGACGGAGATAAGTCTTGGCTGGATCCACGCCAGCGTTGGAGAGACAAGCGCACGCAGCAGAAAAGGAGGCATGCCAGAGATTAAGCTGAGTCACTGGACCACACCCCACAGGGGATAAAAGGGGGTGAGGTTCAGACTCTGTGACGGACAAAACTAACTACTAGCGAGTCACATTGTATCTTTGCAACAACGTTATCTGCCTTGGATTTAATACAGACTGGACTTGACAATTCTTGAACTGTGTGTATCTTGTTTGGGTTTATCTGTCGGAGGAACAACCCCTCCCTCTATGAGTAAAGTTCTTGGCAAGCAGCTACTGGGTTGCTGCCAATCCTCTTATCGAAAGAATTTGTTGTCTGCCAGTTTTATTTAACCCCTGACTATCTGTTTGTGCGCGTGAGACGGGGACAGAACACTATGATGGGAGGGAAAGGGGAGATAGAACAAAGTTCCAGACATCAAGATGCCCGCCATGGGAACCAAGGACATTTCGGCAGAGAAATGAGAAAGAGCCGAGAAAGATTTTCTCACAACAATACTAGAAGTCTCCATTGGACAATGTGACCTGGCCTAATGGGGGAGGTGGGGAAGAGAGAATATTTAAACTTTAAGTATGTGGGTTTGCGCGGGAAATAGTCAGATCTGGTTTTGCCCTCATCTTTGCCGACATGATGTACTCATTAAAGTTTTGCATTAAGGAATTGGATCGTCTCAACCGTGCTTGCTTTGATTGGGTTCGTCAGTCGGAACATTGACACAAGGGCTACCAAGTATCTCTAGAAAGCAGGGTGGATTTGATTTAAATCGAGTTGATTTAAATCACAATTTAAATCATGATTTAAATCACTAGTAAAAAGGCTTGATTTAAATCAACTCGATTTAAACCATAATTTTTAAAGAGCAACTGTCATCTCTGCTACTCCTTTGACCCACTGTTGACTCACCGATAGTCCCAATGTTGCAGAATATACTGCCTCATGCTACATAACTAAGCTCCATTTCATGCTGAGTAAACTAAATTATTTATGTATCTTAAATAGAAAACTATCTTACGATAGATTTTTACCCCAAAAGTTTTTTATTAAAATAAATTCGATAAAAATCAAAAAAATCCGATTTAAATCAAAAAAATCTGATTTTTTTGATTTTTTTAAAAAAATCATTGATTTTTTATCCACCCTGCTAGAAAGCTTTTAATAAAAATGTAGGAAGAGCAAACTGGATCAAACCTTATGCCCCTATCACACCTGACCGTATGAACTAATGCATTTAATTAGAAGCCTTCAGCATAAGATGCTATGGAGGACAATCATCACCTGCTAGTTACTTCCTAGAAATCAGTGTTGTTGCCTAGGATTCAGAAAATAATAAAGAGTCATACATATCAGTAGTCCATTAACAGCCTGGCCTTGCACATTTTTCATCAGTTCTGAAGTCTCTGATTTGATGGACCAGTTCAGACGTGGCTTACTGGATAAATCGGATTCCATGCAAGGCGGCTTATAAACCACACATGAAGCCAAGCCTAAAGCTCCCCGATTACTCTTAGTGTGAGATATCCATGAACTTACGTGGGTGCAAATGGGGCAGATGATGAAATTTTGTGTCATGACCTCAGGGGGCAAAGGCTTTGACTTACATACTTGTGCCAAAAATCGTTAACCGTTATGGCATTGTTTACATGATGATGTCCTAACATAGGGGTCGGCAACCTTAAAACACTCGAAGAGCCACAAAGGTCCTAACCGGAAGCCCCCCGTTCATTCTGGAGCCGACCGGAAGTCCGGTTCCCCCACCATACAGTTTCCTCCTAGCGCGGCGTCCTTTTTCCTCTGGTGACCGGAAGTCCAGTTCCCCCACCATAGTTTCCTCCTAGAACGGCATCCTTTTTCCTCTACCTGTCCTAATCAAAAGCCCTATCAATTGTGAAGCTGACCGGCGACAAGGAGCTGCAGCAGAGGGATGAAAGAGCCACATGCGGCTCCAGAGCCACGGGTTGCCGACCCCTGTCCTAACACCTCGAGGTTTGTTACAAACATCAACAGAACGCAGGGACAAATGTCTGTATTTCAGTAACGGTTACGAGTGGCTTCACGTAAAAAAGCACCATGGTGCTTTCAGTTAATAAAATCTGGTGGTTCCACCTCCTGCCATCATTGCCGTTTCGTTTCCTACTGCCAAAATCCACTGGCTTACCGGCCTGCTCTTAAAATAGCCTCTTTCGAGTAGAGATTGTCACCCCAGATCCCTGGCTGGAGAACAATAATCAAGATCAAGTGACAAATGATACGGCAGATGTTGGAACAATGCCTCTGTGCCTTCAATAAAGGTCCCTCTCTCAATTAAAAGAAAGGTCACCAAATGCAAAACCAGAGTGACTTAGCAGCTTAAAAACAAAGAGAGGGAAATATGACCGAAGGCAACACCGAATGAAAAGGTTGGATCTTTTTGTCTTATAAAATATGAAAAAAAATATGTCTTTCCAAAAGCGAAATAATCAAGATTTGCTTCTCCCATAATAGGAGGCAGAGTTTTTGGCCATCCGGCAGAGGAAACGAAACATGTGTGTTTGTTAGAGAAACGTCTGCTGAAAACAATAAAACAAGGAGCAACATGCAGCAATTCACAATGACAGCAAAAGACTTAGTAATTCCACCCCCCCACCCCCCCCCGGTTAAATCACTACTTTTTCTTTTCTTTTTTTCTTCCTGTCACATCCAGCTGAATCAACAAGTCGAAAAGCTGAGCCGCCAGGATTATTTTCATACTTGGAGGATAAAGTATTAAAAGAGTTTGGAAAATCATAACGATTTCTATTCCTGATTGGCTTGCCAGTGAGAGTAAGTCCTAAAGTTTCTTCTCTTGCCTACTTAGCCAGGACAGGAAACCAAGCTCCGATGTTCATCAATTACTCATGTTTTACAAACCAGCTTTCCTCGACTTCGTGAAGCCTAAATGTGATGGACCTCAACTTCCAGAATCCCCAAACCAGTAAGGCTGCTGGAGAAGAGAACAACTGGGGGAAAAAAAATATGAAGTTGACAATCTCCATTCCGAAAGTTTATCTCACACCTTAGTTCTGAACATAGGATGGAATGGATGAATGAACGTGGCGAATGCCACCCATGGAAGAACATTGTGCACACACCAAAAGCACACACTAGAATCCCAAAGGTGCTTTTGTCAAAAGGCAACTGGACTTTGTTCCTCAAAGACGTTTCGCTTCTCATCCAAGAAGCTTCTTCGCTTCTGATTGAATGGTAGACAATGGAAGGATTTATATTCCTTGCGGTCATCTGGTCATTAGCGCTCTTTCTGAGAGTCGTTTGAGGCCATTTGGAGGTTTATCTGTGCCCCCCCAAATAGTGTCACCTGAATCCAGGTAGTCCTCGACTTACGACCCCAATCAAGCTCAAATTTTCTGTTGTTAAGTGAGACATTTGTTAGTGAGTTTTGCCCCGTTTTATGACCTTCCTTGCCACAGTTGTTAAAAGTGACTCCCTGCAGTTGATCAGTTAGTAACGTATGGCTGTTAAGTGAATCTGGCTTCCGCATTGACTTTGCTTCTCAGAAGGTCGCAAGAGGGGATCACGTGCCCTTGGGACATAAAATGGCGCGAAACTCACTTAAGAAATGTCTCACTTAGCAACAGAAATCTTGGGCTC